GGCTGGTAGTGGTTAAAATAACTTTTCAGTTTCTTTCCGCGTGTATTTTTTCGTAGGCCTGTACAAGATCACACAGCCCCGCCCACCAACCAGCAGGATTCAGCTACAGACACAGTGACCACACCCTCAACCTTTCCCCAGCGATACCAACATACAGCCCCGCCCTCCAACCAGCAGGATTCACCTACAGACACAGTGACCACACCCTCAACCTTTCCCCAGCGATACCAACATACAGCCCCGCCCTCCAACCAGCAGGATTCACCTACAGACACAGTGACCACACCTTTTATCTCTCCCCATCAATACTTCCTCTCCCATCTTCTGTCCTGTCCTGACTCTGTCTCCCCCACTGAGGTGTTCATCATCAACTGTCACTTGCTGGCCATCAAGTCACTGGTACTCAAGTGAGTCAAGAAACATAATATATGTTTGTCTACAAATCCAATTTGCAAGAAATCAGAATATGGACAAAAGTATAATACATTATCAGTGCTCTGAAAAATGTGATTGCCAAGCTTTTGGTAACTGGGTACCTTTGTTAGGGCAAGCAGAAACTGAATCTTTCATATATGCAAAATATCAGAGATAGTTTTCTGTATAGTGATATTTCGGGTTCAGAAGGATAACTCACCTCAGTAAAGTTTTGACAAATCCTTCGAAAATAACAATTGCGAGTGTTCCATCAGAAAGTCTGTTTTTTTATCATGGCTTTAAAACTTGGAAACAACATTGGACATGAATGATAGATTTTAATTTGGATTTTCAGATGGTCTTGTCAGCGTTGTGGTCACAAAGAGTGCATCTGTAGCTCAGATAGTGAGGAAGGGGGAATGCTGACATCATCAGTGAGGTACGATTGGAAGATATTGCCTAAAATCCACCAAGTCTCTCAGTCTTTTAAATGTTTGTTTTTCAGTCTTTTGCAAGAGGCATTTTGTAAATAAAAATATAAAAGTTATTGAGTGGCAAGGAATCTCAAAGGTGCAAATTAAACTTTATTTGTCTCCTTGGCAAGATTCAAAGTTCTTTTCATAGCAGGCCATCGGACTGAGTGCAAGAGGACATCTTGCTGGAAGTTGATGCAGAGCAAGAAAAGCCCTCCCTCAGAACCATCTTGCACCAAGAAATGACTTGTTCAAGGAATTGTTTTTGTTTTAAACAGTGGAGGGTTTAATGAACGTTTGTATACATTTGGAATAGTAGAAAGCAAGATGCTTCCACCACTGACTGCGATGTCCTATTAATGCTCATTGATCACAAACCGGGTCTGTCTGACAGGTTTGTTGTGGAGGATGGGAGTGCAGAGGCATTGGTGTGGTGCACTCAACCCTCTGTCATTGCCGCTGTGTTAGGCTTGACAGCACAGCAATGGACTCAGCTGGAGTTGGAGATACGGCGCTGCAAAGAGGTGGTCTACTCCTACAAGAAACCCAACTACAGAGAAAAGGTTAGCTTATTTAAGATAGTTGATCGGTACAAGAAATCTTGAGCTCTGTTTCCTGAATGAGTGAGGATAGGTGAACTAAAGAGAGCGCTTTCCTACCTAGTTAGATATATCCCTTGGGGCTGTGTACACCGTGTGGGTGTAATTGTTCATGCACATATAGCATGCGGTGCATATACGTAAATTTCAGGTAAAAGATGACAAACTCGGGCGTCTTCAGGTACGTGGAAGCACAGCATCATTGCATGGTGTTCAAATGTCTTTATAGGTCCTTTTCAAGAATTTCTTTAAAGGTACAGGCCCATATTTGCAGCTGTCCATAAAGTAGCTCACGTAATTATTGTTATAAAGCATGTTCTTGGTTTAAAGACGGTTATGGGCCCAACTCTCCCAGTGGAATGATTCTTTCTAACAAGCTGTCACATTGAAGAAAGCAATGAGAGAAGGCTGTTGTCAATGATTTGTCCAAGACGCATTTGTTGACATTGTAGTTAGTAGTTCATTTTCAATTTGGCAAAGTGTGCACAAGTGATGCACAATGTGTGTGGTTGCTTTAATTCATCACTCCAGTGTGCAACATCACAGAGAAAGAGCATGTCCTTGACATTGAATTTGTGTGCAATTCAAAACATAACTCGGCAACTGTTGATTTGAAATTGACATCCTTAAAAGTTTTTCTTTAGAATATACAGTATTCACTGAGCTAAAACTTCATCAGGTTTGGGCACCTTTCTTTAGATTTTGAGCACTTTTGTTGCCTCAAACAAACATGGTGCATTAATGACAAATGACGTTCTGTAGCTTTAAACAAGAAGGATGCAGTCAGACTTTAATATAGACACCAAATGTAACAAAGCAGGCCAGACAAAATCAGGTCAATTGATTCCACTTGGAAACATATTGTGTTTGAAAAGGTGGCCCACTAACCAGTTATTTGACTCTCCCCAACCATTTGTATATAGCCACCCAACAGTGAGGAATAGGGAGAGTTTTGTCTAGCTCCCCGGCCCCTTATCCTAGTGGTCCAAAGTCAAAGCTATATTAGCCCAATTAGCAAATTATTGCCCACTGCAGAATATTCGTTGGTGCTAATTAAATCAAGCCAACGCAGCCACTATTAATCATAATGAAATCAAATCACTTCCTGCTTCTGCACCGACCAGTTGAAAAACTTCCTACCAGCCTGTCTCTTTTTTGCCAGTGAGGATGCACTTCAACTTGGGGCAGATTATCTTGTGTGACTTTTACTTGGGTAACTTATGTAGACATTCAACTCAGAGACCTTTCAAGTCTCATCAAAGTTTATGGTTCAAAAAAAAAAGTTTAATTGACCCCTCCTACCCAAATATGGACTTTGCAAACAGTATTTAGGAGAGGGTATCAAGAGGTTTTACATCCATATGATTCAACACGTAGGAATGACATATCTTCACATGAACTATTCTGACTTAAGATAGTGTTGTAGTCCAACCTATCACAAGCTTGGTCACCAATCTGCTCATGGGTAACAGGAAACAAACAGAAACAGAGAAATGGATATGTCACAGTTTATTGGAATAGCCTGTGACTACAATGACTTGAAACTGCATGAACAAGGATTGACTTGTTCTGGACAGACTCCACTATAACAACACTACATTAAAGACTTGCCAGTGATTGAATTGATCATACATCATCCATCACTTTGCAGGTAGTTTTGCCCTCTCCAACAGACACTGAGGGCCTGGTGAATCTACTCTGTAGTGATGACAGTTTACAGAAACCCTTGGTACTGCACTGCCAACTCAGGAACCGAGGTACAAGCATGAGAAGTTCCTCAGCTAACGCAGGTTTGTCTAGATTTAGTAATTTATTATTATCAATTATCAATTATTTCTGGTAATGACACAAGGATTCCTCAAAAGTGCCCTAGGTACTGTGGCTTGCAAGCCTGAAGAAACCTGTGGAGAGGAGACAGTGAGAAGCAGTTACAGATTTAGAGGTGGGAGGAAAACCCCAGAGGAATAGTCTGGGTAAAACCCATGGAATCATTTAGGGACTTCACCTATGTCCAAGCTGTGTACGGATCATGTGTCCAACTTGAACTTGACTACTGTATGTACCCAGCCTGTTGTAGCAAATGTCAGTCCGTGGCAATGCCTGGGAGTGTTGAGAAATATGAAGCTAGGGTGCAGAAATATTGTTCAGATGACTCTGAGTCACAGTTGGCCATTAAGTACAAAAAATCAGAAGTGCTCACTTGCAATGCAACAAATTGCATACATTTGTTGTGGAAATCATTGGTACAGGATAGAGCTATGTACTGATTCATGAAAATGGCTGATTGCCCTGTTCAAACTGCTTCAGTTAAATTCATTTCCTGACTTTGTGACTTCCAGGGACAGCTGACAAGCAGTTTGCACCCTCTGTTCATCTGAAGTGTTTAGCTGCATATGAAGGCTATCATTGAGTCCTAAGAGTCAAAAACACCTCCAAACACCCTTCAGAATTCTACTTCAGGTAGGTTTCCACCTTCAGAAGAAAAAACTAAAGAAAATCTGAGCAAGATGTGCCTAACGAAGCACACGTATCAGCCGGTAGTCTTAACTGCCACCAGTTACTGTTGGTAAACACTGGGTAAATTTTGACCTTTGCCTTGAAATAGTGCATATTCAGCAGTCAACATTAGTTAAACTGAGCAAATGTGAGCCGAGTTAGTTCATACAATTTGGGAAACAACCCAGTTTGGATGGCTTGTCGAGAAATGACCACTGCTGACTACTAGGTGACCTTTGCCCTTGATCTGCAAACAGTGTCCATGAAACTTGCAATAGGGCTACAACTGACCAACAGCGGCATGGTTTGTAACAAAGCTAGTTCGTCCATTCTCCAGAAAATTGCCACTGTTGACCACCAAGTGTTCTTTAACCTTTATCCATTAACACCCTATTTGTAGCTTTGGTCAAGGATACATGTGACAATATGGCTAACATTGGCTGAAGAATGTGACAAAAGTGTCATTTCCCTTGTTTCAATGAAATTACCCCTTGTGACCACCGCATGACCTTTTGCCAAATTCTGTGTTCATTCACTGTATCTAAATCTCAGTCCAGAGATGCAACTAATCATATTTAGCTCCCATAGGAAGAATGCTATGAGAGAAGCAGTGTGTAATTTTCAATGTGACCACTTTATGACTGTTATGTGACCTGTGACCCCAGTCAGAGTACAACATGTCTGTACACGTGGCTTGAAGTTTAGTGGTTATACCAACATAAGATTCGCATTGAGGAAGAAAAACTGGCAAATGGAGATACAGAAGGACCACCCTAAATCAGCCTGGCTAATATAATTTATACCCAGCAAGAAATGAGACCGCGGGGTACCCCCCCAACATGTCCAATCCCTATACACATTCCAGACTATTGTTACTTAACACATCCCCCCAAGATGTCTGCAAGGAATTCCCCAGATTCCTGCGAGACAATGACCAATACAAAGTATTGCAAAACAATACAAAGCTGCATATGATATAATCACCATGGAACAGGCAGTTGCAAGAGGCAGACTTACACCAATAACCAACCAGTAGCATTACTTTGATTGTTAGGAATGTACACAGCTGTGTATTTTAGGAGATGATTTTGAAGCATTTCCTTCTGACGTCTTCGCTGCCTAAGACCAATTAATCACGAAAATAAACACATGAAAATCATTATTTTGTAAAGTTTTCTTTGCAAATTTTCATTTATTTTTTGTGTGGTGATTTTTCCTAGTTAGGAAATAACTAACTTAATTACCGCAATATTACTAGCCAACAGGCTATTCTCAACCTCATACCCAGGTGTACAAAGCATCACATTTGTTAAGTATTTACTTTCAAACCTGGTGCAGTTTATAAAATCAGTACAGGGAAGGGGACTGTTTGGAACTTTTATTTTAAAACAAAAATCAGTAATAAATAAGATTTACACATGTACAATCACTTCAAACAAAAAAAACCCATGGCAAATTATATATTCGAGCAGACTAAATCCAAGATTACAAAAACAAACCAAAACATTGGTCTGCGAGTTTTAAACATGATTTAATTTGGGAAACTATTAGAATGTTGTTGCTGTTTGTAAAAGAAAATACAATTTATCACAAGCTGAATGTTTTTAAAAGTTTCCAACAATCATCACACCATAGTTTTCACACAAATAAACCTAAAAAGTCAAAGAATGACTTTGGAATATCACCTTATGGCTCTTGAATTTGGATACCACATAACAAACACAAGTGAAAATTAAAAATACCAACAGCACTGGACTGCCACTACTTCTAGTATGCCAAGATCTGGCAATAAAACTGGAATGGAGCAGATTTTGTGCACAAATGTACCTGCAGAAAACCAAATAAGTCATGTTTTTCTTTCTCTTTCAGGATGTCTGGCAATAAGTTCAATGTGATTGGGACTCATTTAAGGATACCTCGGTGAAGTTTCTTGAAGAGTAGGATCAACTATCCGTGGCTCTTCCAGCAGCAGCTAAAATTATAATACTGATAAAGCAATGCCTGTTTAATGAGAAAGATTACAGTATTCCTTTATCATGATTTCTATGGGGTTAGTGACGAAATTCTGAAAGATTTTTGGAGGGAAATTTTCATCAAACACTGGAGATTTCTCCATACTCCTATGTACATTTCAGCATGCACACAAGGACTTGAATAGTCCGAATAAAACTTATGAAACTTGGAAGTTTTTCCTTAGAATATTACTAATGGGAACAGGTTTAAAAAAAAACCAACCAATGCTTTTCATGAAGAAACGATTGTTTGGATATCTTTTTGAAACAGATTCCAAATCTCTTACGACATCTCTAGACTCAGTTTCAACATGCAATCTGAAAAAAGCAACTTTGGCACTTTGGTGTAATTTACTACTTTGCAAGACCTCGCCCAGTTCTTATTTTGTCAAATTTGGGATAAGAGTTACTCTTTCCAACTGCTCAATCGAACTGTTCACCAAGATGTCTAGAAATTGCTGGAAGCCTGGTATTCAAAGTACATGTATTCAAAGGCAAAGTGTGAGCTGAAGATTTCTATTAGTTTTCCTAATAATAACAAATGGTTCTAAAATACAGTGCTTTTTGAAAATCGTTTTAAGGGTCAAAATAACCAAGTTCAATACCTCTTGTCAGTTGCAGACCAAACTGCATGACTAAAATTTGCTTCTCCATAAGTCTGGCTTAAAAAAAGATCAGTCACATCTTTAATATAAATATTGTACACCATTGAGCTATCTGCGCAATTAAATTAATTCTAAATAAAATCTCAAGTAGCACACTGCCTTTCTGCATATACAGAAAGTTACAATTCTTTAGATACACAAAGACAGTAAACTATTTTTATAGTGAGGGCCTGTTTATAGGATCAAGTATTCCTTAACTTTTGCTTTTGTCTGTTTGCAAAGGAAAAATGGATTTTTGGCGAGAAGACTTCTTGTGCCCCAAGTTTAGTGTTGATCAGGTACTAACATTCTGGCCTTAAAACTGAATTTTACATTCAGTGTACACTTCAAACAGTGGCATTTGGACAGACAGGTTACAAATGGTGGGCAGAAACAATAGACAAAATGTAACATTTCTCCAGTGCCCATCTCCATCAGTTACTTCATTGCATCAGTGGAGAATCTGGTTCAACTGATTCAGCATACATTGCTATTTAATACTTTCCCCGCCATTTTTGGCTGGGCTTAAACTCTTTGCCAAAGATTGTATAGTGCCACATAGCAGCGTAAGATGGAGAACTCTGCCCAAAAGGTGTAATCACCATGGACGCAGTCTGGGCAAGCAATACACCTGCACAGTGCATGTTGATGCATAAACTCAGGCGCACAAGGTGTGTGCGCCTGTCGCAGCGCCTGTGCATTAATGTGCACTGTGCAGGTGCATCGCTTGCTCAAATGGTGCCCATAAGATTACGTTTTACACGTATTCACGGTGAAGTTCTCAATCTTGTGCCGCTACGCAGCATTACACGATCTTTGTTCTTTGCCCACTGTTAAACCTATGTTTTACTAGTACTGTATGCTGTATAGACCTTTCTTTTCTTTATAAACGTTGAGTGCAAAGTGCGTACTGCAATTTCCTGTGCCTGAATTTGAATTTCTACTCAGGATGTCAAAGTAGGTACGCTAACAGTTTTTACCACAATGGCACACCTACTGTAGTCCAAGGGGTTGAATCTGCAATGTCATTTTGGCATCGTTGTGGTTGTATAGTGATGAGTAATTATACACAATGTACAACATGCTAGTACCCGAGTCATTCATTTCTTTCTTATCAAGGCAGCTACCCACGCCGAGGTTGGCAGAGTTCAGCTCTGATGCAGAAAAGAAAGGACTACACTGTCTCCAAAACATTCCCATTTTGTTTCCATCATGCAACTTTAAATTACTGAATGCTGCCACACTTCAATGCTGAAAGTTTTTACAGCACACTTCCAATGTTTTGTTCTGCTGCTGTTGTTGCATTGGAGGGAATATAATCAAGAATGCATACACAAAGTATCTGAAGGGACTCATCCAGGTATCCTTATACAATTATGTATCAAAAATAGAAGTTTGTTTCTCTGAACATTTTCTTATCTACACTCTGGACAACAAGGTGCTTTTTACAATTATTCTTGCCTAAGGCTTTTCAAACACCGCACCCAAAGATTCTGTTTTGATTGGCTGAGAGCAAATCGGATGAATTTGTTATTCTATTGTACACTCAAAATAAAAATGACCAAGACAGTCTCAGTCTGAAAGGTTCAGAGCCATCTGCAATAGTTTCATATGTATGCCCATGCCAGCTCATAATATGTAGCTTGAAGCAAATATTTTCATCAAGTTTGGCAAACTGCAAAGGAATTTCTCATTTATACCACTTGAACTGAAATGAGTTGGGCTTTTAATTACTAGTCAAATACTTTTTTAAACTTTACAGAAATCTATGGTGATGGCCTCCAAAGAACAAATGCTGACTGCTTTTACGAGTGGAACATTTTTCCCCTGTGGCTTTAACTTGAATCTATAAAAATAAAATGGATCACCATGGAAGGCTAGTTTTACAAGACTACTTAAAGCAGTCAAAAGTTGTAATACTTTGCTCAAAATGCTCAGAACAATGGTGACATTTGTAGGATTCTCACAAGTTGAAATGAAACAAATATCTGCTTATCAGGCACAATGGACTGCAAACTTTATTGACTAGGTAGAAGCTGACTAAATCATTGAATTTAGGATTAAAGTGCAATATGAGCATGGTACCAGACATATTAGAAAATACTTTGGCCAAAGATATATACTGAGTTTTGCTGAGGGCCTAAAGCGCCAAGTAACTTGAAAAACTGGACATCACTCATTTAAGATCAACTTAGGTTTCCTTTGATAGGTCTAAAAATTGGAAAACAAAATTTGACCAAAAACCTAAATCAAATGAAATTCACAAAACAGCTATGCGTATGTACCAACAGGAAAAGCATGCCCTTTCACAAAAGTCAATATTGTATTTCAGACTTACATATTTTTCAAAATTTACTCCGAGAGTTAAAAACTCACCAATTCATGAACCCATCTACTGGTATGCTTAGGCAGTTGCTACGAGCAAACACCCCCTCCCCCGAAGAAACCAAACAGATGTACAAACTAACTGGCACAACAAACACGCTTGCAAACAAATACTCCACTCATAATTTACACATTTGTTCTCTTGAATAGGCACTACAACCTACATTGCAAACTTCAAGAAAATCGGAATATTATATAGATATTCTGGCCCGTTAATAGTAGTACAAATTCTGCACCTAAAAATAGTGGAACGGCTGGTATCTGTTTTCTCCTGTTTTGTACATACTTCAATATTCACAAGAATTATTTGCAGTTTAAATTTTGTGGTTTCTGAACTTGGTCTACCCTCAATGCATCACACACACCATCTCTTGATTATTAAACTGTACAGTTCTTTAAATTTTTTACACTCTCAAATTGTCCACTTTCTCCATAGCAATATTGGACAAGCAACATTAGGTGGCTTCCTTATATACAGCCGCACCACGGTAAGCAAGCATACTGCACTAAAAAATCTCCTGGAGAAAATGATGTCCAGAGTTCCCGCAGCAATTTTGACGTTATTGCCAGGACTGAAATGTCTCTCACCTCAGTGGACAACCAGTCAGTTGGAATGGTCAGCCTTTCAAAAGCAAAAGATAAAAGAAACAACTAAGACTGACTGACTATTTGAGTACCAGAGAGCAGTGATTGACAGCAGGGTACCAGTGTTTGTCTGCAAAAGACTACATGTCAATATTGAATCCAGAAGTTTAAGCTTATCCAATTTTCACTGTGTACATGGTGTAACCACAAATGCACATGGATCCTCAGCCATAAACTCGTTACTTATATGCGCAAATTCCAACTTCATCAACTGAGCCCAAAACCTGTCATCAAAAGTGGTTAACTGCCAAGTCTTTGGCCAAGGGAACACCACTTGGTATGGATTTTGACTTTGAGCACGTTAAGCCAACCAAAATAGTAGTTGTGCTTCAAATTACCCACCCCAACCTAGCAAATTGGGCCGACTCTAAATCTTTTTATTGAAAAAGAAATTTTAAAAAAGACACTGTTGCCGACCCTTGTGCTTATTTCAGGGGTGTGAAATCTCTGCTTTTTTGTGGAGTATGCTAAATTTCATTTCCGGTTTTGCACATGTACATTGCACATGTACAGTACGTGCATATAGTGATATGTATCTGTGTGGCTCAAAGCGCAAGCCTTATGTGTAAACAGCACCCTGGGACCATCCGGTCGTTGTGCTGTGATTGGCTGCAAATGAAACTTCAATACTCATATATCAGTGAGAATCATTACAGCCGTTCCTGCACAAGCAGAAGTAGTGACTAACAATCTCCACTGTAACTCACAGTTGCACACATTTCACTGTGAATTTACAGCTTGAAATGAGGTTAAAACATTTTTGCTTCCACGGGTAGCAGGTTTCATGACAACTGGTGCGAGGCACACAAAGTTATTGTGTCTTGCATCATCACGTCGGTTTTAACCACTTCGTG